ATTTTTTGCTATGAAGATGCAGAGGTAGGATTATGAAAAAAGGCCAGCAGGAACGTTTGGCATAAGTCCTAGTCAGTGATGAGAGGCTGACACTTTGTAATAATGAATCGTTACGGTGTCGGACCCTCAGGTAGTAATTTTAGTTCGATCACTGTAGCGCCGTAGTGACGTATTTGATAATTATGACTTTGATGTTAAATTGAATTAATCAGCATAATTATACTGAATGACACTAACATGCATGTTGCGTTTAATGACTGGCATCCAATTTAACATGGTGTAACAATACTTTTTGAAAAACAATATGAAGCATGGCCTACTAATACACGACGCAAAAAATAATATAATATCTGTCGTATAATTGAGCAGTGCCAATGTTTCGGGTCGTACCTCACGAAACTTTTCGAAAATAGGAGGTTGGTAAAATGTCAGGTTTTTCTTATTTTCTGCTGCGATTGCTAGATTTGGAGCAAAAAAATGATTACTTTCAGCAGGTTTTGAAGATAGAATATTCGTTTCTTGGTTGGTATCATACTGAAGAAAGGATAAAACGCGGATAATTTATACACAACGTAATAGATGCTGTAGTCAGTCCTGTGACTGACCATTGTCGACGTTTTGGTCGATGTCTCATGGGCCTTTCTCAAGTTAGGATAGTGGTGAAGTTTCGTGAATATGGTTGGTCATCCGCTTACGGTTTCGCAGCCGTAAGGCAAGCTTTCGGTCTGTGCTTCCCATTAAATATTTTTTGGGCGACGAAGCTCATCCAATACGCGTAGAGTTCGTGTTAAACCTTACCACCAACCTGCCTTCAAGAAGACCCGTGCGACACGAAGCAAAAGGTCAGTATTCGTCAGTCACCGGACTAACCACAGTGTCTTTTCCGTTGTGTAAGTAAACCTCGTTCTACGTTATATTTTGGCAGTTTTGTAGATTGTATGATCTAAACATTAAACTTTTCAGTGTTCTTCAACTCCACTTGCAGCAGGTTGAAGGATCCCATCTTTCGAACCTGTTGCCACAATATTCCAACGTTTGGGTTTCTGTATGTGTCATCAGCTTTTGAGTTTTATAATAAATTAATATCGTATTTATTACAAGTGTTAGCTTTAGTGGCGCAGAACGAGAACCATTAGAAAATCACTCGAGATTGCTACCCTGGAACTGTGTTTTGACTAAACTTTGAGTTACTTTCTTCATAATGAAAAGTGTACAGTCATGATTGATTAGCTCATTACCTAAATTTTCTCAGCGGATATGCATCTGGAAGCGAACAGCTTCTACGTGAGATATATGATAAAATTATTCTTGACACATCGGAGAGAAAAATTTAATGGTAATGGGCTGGTTTCGTCTTCGTGTACTTTGTCATTTCTTCTGTCAACGGATTTGTTCTTTATACACGTGCTTCTCGAGTACTGGTAAAGATGAAGTTCTCAT